ATCAATAAACAGTAAATCACTTGGCATCTTAAAAGGCCTCACTATCAATCATTTCCATAAATAATAATAGATGTTTCCTCTGTGCAACTGGTAAGACCATTAACATTCCTTGGAACTCTTCTGAAGCACTTAATATATCAAATCTTAGAAAGTGAAATATGCTCGAGGATACTAAAGTTTCAGCTATTTGACCTTTGTTACAGCCCTATTTTATTGTAAAAGTTTTCTACAGAAAACACACTCTGCATACTAAAGATTCAAAACTTGGTCTTCAGCATCCTATGTAATTGGACTGGAAGAACCTTTAAAGCTGCTATTGGAGAAAAAACTAGTAGGGACACAAGAATTACTTAATGACCTAATATAAAAATCTGCATAATTTAGCCTGTACCTGGAGGTTTACAACATATGTTAAAACCTCTAAAGCCTCAAACGCTATTCAATATTTTCTACAGCCTAGATTGGTTAGATGTAATATTTGTTCTCTCAAATGTTAAAGCACTAAGTTCTCTGCAATAAGTTCCATGACTGGGGACTGGCCTTGATCCTGCTGGTCTTTTGCAAAGCATTGAAGACCTGGATGTACTCCATGGCATCAAGAATAGAGGTTAGCTCTCATGAGATGTTATTGTTCTGCTAAATGGCCATGGCAGTTTTTAATGTTTTGTTGAGATTGGATTTTTGTATTGTTTATAATTTGTTATTAGCTGCCCAAAGCCATATTTGCAAGATGCAGGGATATTTAAATTGATTTAGTAAATTAAAAAATGGAATAAATAAATGTACAGTACATACACACTGCTTTCGATATTTTGTAAAATAAAAGCATGAATCATTTTCTTTACAACTGCTGTGCATTTAGAAAAATCAGACTGCAGCTTACCTTCACAAAGTTCAATGTGGGTAGCAGTAGGACTACAAAAAGCTTTAGATTTGAAGTAGTAGCCCTATCAGCTAGACTAGATCAGAAAACTGGCTCCACGGGAAGGCTGGAACTGCATTTTAGTGAGATAGATTATAGAAACAGTTTTGCTAGTCTGCTTAGTCAGGAATGAGTCACTCAAGTCTCTTCCTAACAATATCTCCTTTCCCTCAGCTTCAAGAATGTCCCTGCCCTTGTTGCTTCTGTATATTCCCTTCAAGGCCATCTTTATGGCTCTCTACACAGAAGGAAACATGTATTCAAAACATGGCACTTAGCATGTCTCAGCAATTCCTTAAAGTAGGGGTCCTCAAACTTGGCTGGTTGGGGAATTGTGGGAGTTGAAGTCCACAAGTCTTAAAGTGGCCAAGTTTGAGGATCCCTGCCTTAAAGGATCCTGTGGATGGATAGCAGCCATTCAGTCCTGAAGAAAGAATGCGGCTGCTAAAGACATAGCTGACAAACGCAACAGGGGTGCCTCCCTGTAATCCAAAGCAACATTTTTCCTTCAAATCTGAAGTACTGCATTGCCACAGACAGCACCAGAGCAGTGCTGAATTTGTGCAGTTGAACCAGTATTTAATACTTTTTCTTAAAGAAAAAATATGTAGCATTGAAGGTGTCTAGTATTTACAGCATTTATGTAAGCAGAAAATTCAGTTATAGGTTGACATGTTAAAAGTATGTTTAGTGTATGGTGGGGGGGGGGGGAGAAGTCTCTTTTGCTAAAAGAAGATTTAGTGTATCACAGAAAAAAAGGTCTCTTTGGATTCAGGTCAGAGACCTGTAATAAAAATACTTGAGTTTGCTAATTGATGGCATCAAAATGACTTTGATTTCTTAGGTGGAAATCTCTGGGGAATCCCAGAGCTGCAAGTTAGATGAGAAGTCAAAAAATGATTGTGAAAAAAGGCTTAGATTAATGGCAAACAAATCCTGTACTTTTGTCAAGAGAACTACATAAAAATGTCAAGGAGTTTAAATCGAATAAAAGGAAACTATTTTTTAAAACTGATGAAATGTAATAAAAATACCTAGTAATCTTTAATGTGTTTCAAGGGCTACAAATTTTGTAGAAATGAAGGCAGTTATTCTTAACTGTGTTTCCCAAAAGTAGTTTTTTGTCAGTTTACACCAAGGGACAGGAAATGAAAAAAATGTCATATTTTAAAATTACTTTATTAAACAGAACTTAAGGTAATAATTATAATTTCCAAGTTCATGCACACATTTAGGCATGAATATTTACAGTGAACACCTTTTCCCATGACTACTTTGGGTAAACCTGCACTGAGTTTTACAATCCTCTTACATCTCTTTGACATCTTCCAATTTAAAAATGAAACTGAATAGGCCAAATAATCTTAAAGAGGTTTTAAAGCAAATTAGAAATGCAATGTAAAACTTTTCTGTATTATAAAAATCTGAGCAGTTTAGGAAAGATAGGAAAGAAATACTTATCAACAAAACCTAGTAAAATAAAACAATGTCATCAAAACTGCAAAGCTTTATAGTAATTTAATAGCAAGGCTTGACTAGCATTATATCAGGTTATGCAATGAGTGTCACTAATTGCATAACCTGATATAATGCTAGTCAAGCCTTGCTATTAAATTACTACAAGTGCTCTTGATTACTGTAATCAGTAACTCTATACACAGAACTCTTCCACCCAACACTTATCGCCTACAAATTTTCATGTTAAAATTTTGCTGTATTTCTTTAACTATTAGTTATAAAAAGAAAAGGTGAAAGTTGTCCTATCAGTCATGTCCGACTTGAGACATGATGCTCAACTGTTTCTTGCCTGAGGGAGCCAATGTTGTCTGAAGACAATTTCTGTGGTCACGTGACCAGCATGGCTATATGCCAAAGGCCCATGGAATGCTGTTACCTTCCCTCCGAAGTGATATACATAATATAACAAGAACATGGCTACATCTGAAGGCAGGACAAGAAGCAATCGATGGAAACAAATCAAAGAGAGAAGCAATCCAGAACTAAGGAGGAATTTCCTGACAGTTAGAACAATTAACAGTGGAACAACCTGCCTCCAGAAGCTGTGAATGCTCCAACACTGGAAGTTTTTAAGAAGAGACTGGACAGCCATTTGTCTGAAATGGTACAGGGTTTCCTGCCTGAGCAGGGGGTTGGACTAGAAGACCTCCAATGTCCCTTCCAACATTATTGTTATTATTATTATTGTTACTACTACTACCACTACTACTACTACTACTACTACTATCTTAAACAACATATTTCTTTCAGTAACAGTTTACATCAATCAGGATTCTGTTTTTAAAAGTTGAGCACTAAGTGGTGAATGACACCTCTAAGAAGGGCACATGACTCTGAAAGGGATGCCTAGATTTTTTTTCATGCAAAACTTCTAAATAAAATCCCTGGTCTAGAAGAGCAGATGAAAAGTTATCTGTCCAAATGTTAATAAAAATTACAGTCTGAGCAACCAGAAATCTGATTTGATATACAGAATAAATTCTGCAGTTCACAAAAGAAATATATCCACATAAAATCAAAAGGGTCAAAAAGGATCACAATAACGTTATTAAGATTCTTAAGCACCTAGCTAATCAACATAAATCCAATTTCTTACATCAGTTTCTCACAATCTATCTAAGGTAGAAAAAACTAGGATGATTTTTCCAAGTTCTGTCAATGTCAAAGTAATTATTTATTTATGACATTCATACCTTTCTTTCAGCCACAAAGACTCCCAGAAAGGCTTACAAATCAATAAAAACGAGAGACAGTCCCTGACCTCAAATTTACAATCTAAAAAGAATGGCCTGGAAAAAAAAAAAAAAGAATGGGGAAGGAAACGGAAAGCAACTAAATCCAGACCCAGGATCTTTTGTGCTTAGCTCTTGTTACAAGTATCTGAATTAGCTTTAAAAAGCCAAAGTTGTCAATCTTATGATCAACTGAAAAAGAAGTGTCAAATATTTCTGGGCTGTCAATTGTATCCCAGAAGAGCCTGCTTCTGAACTCTCCATGTGCTGCCATCTGATAGGAAGGGCTGCTAAACAATATTTAGGAGACAAATAAAGAGAACTGATGGTCGATTTGGCTCACTTCTCTTTCTTTGCTATAGCTTGAAAGAATGATTCAGAGAAAGGTTCTGTTAAACACGCTGCAAGAAACACTTGCTAAACATCTACCTCTCAATAACAACATGTTTACTATAGCTTCAGGTTCGTTTGCCTGAAGAAGATCATTTTAATCAAAACTAGTTCATGGAAGACAAATAACACTGTAACAGCCCAAACAAACCGAGTCAATTAAATTAGGTTCTCTACATTTTGCATCTTATCAAAATGTATTATAGGATACAGTCTAGAATTTGTCCCCTAAATATGCTACCGAGAGACAGTGGCCATAATAATGGTAGCCATTTAGCAACCAAATTGTTATTCAGGTAGTCCTTGCTTTATAATCATTCAATTAGTGATCATTCAAAGTTACACAGCACTGAAAAAAGTGATTTATGACTGTTTTCCACATGTCTGCTGTAGCATCCCCTTGGTCACATGATCAAAATTTGAATGCTTGGCAACTGGCATGTATTTATGACTGTTGCAATGTCCCCAGGTCATGTGATCCCCTTTTACAACTTTCTGATGAGAAAAGTCAATGGGAAAGTCAGATCCACTTAACAACCATTTTACGACCTTACCAATTGGAGTGATTCACTTAACAAATATTGCAGGAAAGGTCATAAAATGGTTTAAAGACTTTACAATTGTCTTGCTTAGCAATGGAAATTTTAGGCTCAATTGTGGTCATATGTTAAGGACAATCTGCATACTATTTTCACAGTAACTGAATTATTTAATCACAATATAGCCAGAAAATAAGTGTGTTGAACAAGCTGTTGATTTTATTTGCATTCTAAATGTTTTTAAATTGTATGCTTTAAATAAACATTCCTTACATTTTTGAATATTGAAATGTTTTCTGTTTTCTTTTCAAGTTTGCCTTTGAAGAGGCTATTTCTTTCCATATCATTAACAACAGAAAAAATTATAATTGCAGAACAGGACAAAAGTATTTTACTCACAAATTCATAATCACCATCCAGAGGAACTCTCCAATCTGAGGAACATCTTTCAGACACTTGCCTTCCATAGTTGTTTTGCCAATTCTCTTTTTCCTTTTGTTCAAAATAGTCAAGGAAAGATGGTCTGACAGACTGCATGGTTTCATCTCTCCCTACAAGTAAAGACACATTTATAGATTCAGAAGAGAAGGTGTTTAATAAACCTTTTTAAGCAAATTTAATATTCAATTAACTCCATCTTGTGACTAATTGAAAGTAAATATTAAAAATCTGATTCACAAAGAACTTTGCAAATATGCCCTATCAGCCTGTTGGTAAATGTGGTAGGCTTGATTTTATTGCTATTATCAACATAATCCTATACTATGTTCAATCATTTTTGTCTTTTGTACTACTCCTCTAGTTGTCATTTTACTCGCTTTGTTTCTCAGAGCTTCATTTCTCAGAGCTTCTATGACACACCCTATGAGTAAAGACCATTCAGGAGCAAATTCATCTATTACTCTTGTACTCTTATCTTATCCACACTGCAGAAGGACTTCCATCAGGGATGGATTTTTCAAATAGGAAATAAATGCTTGATGATTCTAGTAATGGAATGTGTGTGTGTGTGTGTGTGTGTGTGTATGTGTGTATAATGTTTTCTGAGGTTTTCGCGGGTGTTTCTATATAACCAAAGACCTACACACACACACACAAACACACCGTGTGTGTGTGTGTGTGTGTGTATATATATATATATATATATGTGTGTGTGTGTGTTTTCTGAGGTTTTCGCGGGTATTTGTATGTAGGTCTTTGGTTGTTCGGGTTTTCTCCCGCGTAAAATTGGAAGTGTCTTGGCAACGTTTCGACGAAGTCACATTCGTCCTCTTCAGGCTGGTGTTTTTAGCTCAGCTTTGGCTGCTCCAAAGCACGAAGCTGAAAACACCAGCCTGAAGATGACGAATGGGACTTCGTCGAAACGTTCTGAGATTTTTGCGGGTATTTGTATGTAGGTCTTTGGTTGTTCGGGTTTTCTCCTGCGTAAAATTGGAAGTGTCTTGGCAACGTTTCGACGAAGTCTCATTCGTCATCTTCAGGCTGGTGTTTTCAGCTTCGTGCTTTGAGCAGCAATGTGTGGTCTTAGCTGTTTATTCCTTTTAACTGCCAGTGGGGGTATGAACTGATGGGTGGGAGCTTGGCTGTGTTCTGATTGGGTGGAGGTGTGTTCTGAATGGTTAGGGGCTTGGCTGTGCTCTGATTGGCTGGGGGAGTGTTCTGTTTGGTTGTGCTCAGGTTAGTCTGAGTTGCAGAGGGTTTAAGATTTTGGGCTGCCTTGCTATTTTTTGGCTTCTCGTTCGTGGTTGTGTCTCCTCTTCATGGAGGGTGTCAGTTTGGTTCATGTATGGATTGGAGGGGTTTAAAGTGGCTAATGATGCAGCTGTGGTCTGGCTTCTGGTTTGTGGTCGTGCCTCGTCATCGGTGTGGGTTTGGGTTTGTTTTTTGCGTGGATGTGTGGTGGTGACCTCCTGTGTGGTTTTTTGTGAGTGTGGTTGGTATCATTTTTTGTGTTAGGGAGTCGTTTGTCAATCATGATACCAGACCACACTCACAAAAAACCACACAGGCAGCCAAAATCTTAAACCTCTGCAACTCAGACTAACCTGAGCACAACCAAACAGAAACACTCCCCCAGCAATCGAAGCAAGCCAAGCCCCTAACCATTCAGAACACACCTCCACCCAATCAGAACCACAGCCAAGCTCCCACCCAAATCAGTCACACCCACTGGCAGTAAAAGAAGAAACAGCTAAGACCACACATTGCTGATCAAAAGCACAAAGCCGAAAACACCAGCCTGAAGATGACGAATGGGACTTTGTCGAAACATTGCCAAGACACTTCCAATTTTACGCAGGAGAAAACCCGAATAACCAAAAACCTACATATATATATATATATATATATATATATATATATATATATATATATATATATATATATAATTGTTTAGAAGAGAGGCAGGAAACAGTTTAGCAAGCCTAATTTAAAATCACTCAGATTAGAATTTTTAGAATCATTTTCTACACCTTAAAACCCACGTTACATCTACACATTACACATTACAACCAGGTTATACTGAAATGCAGAGCTCTTAGAAAACAGGCTATAAATTTAACAAATAGAGAATGTTGGGTTTGACTTATAAACCATTAGACCAGGGGTGTTAAACTGCCAGCCCGCGGACCGGACGCGTCACGAGGAAAGCACGCCCACCCCATTGCCAGCAATGGGGAAAAAGTTCCGATACGTCGCATGACGTCATGTGGACATTGTGAGTTTGACATGTCTGCATTAAACTATTTCAGCAACTATTTTGTTTGTATTCTAAAGATTTTTAAAGAACACATTATTGATGTTATCAAGGAGCTCTGTCTCAATGTCATTGTAAATATTTAGGTATCATTTAGATAATGCAATGTCATTTAGATAATACCTAGGAATTTGTTTTCAATTATCTCCATTTCACATAGAGAAGAAGAGGGAAATATAACACTGTATGTAGCTAGTGTTATTTATTTTAGCATTCACTACCAATAGCCCATTCTGTTATGAGATGTGGAAGCTTATGCAAATAAATGCCTCATTCTATAACTAGTTCTTATTTTAAACATATCCTTTTAAGGTTACCAATCCAGAGTTAACAAAGGAAGTATCATCAAAAATCTGAATTTTTCAGCAGAGGCAATGGAGTAGCCTTGCTTCTCTTTTTCTACTCTACAACTTGATGGAATAGCTGTAAATTAACTGAGAAAGGGCAAAAGGCAACAGATAGTGGAGAAAATGGAATGTCAAGCTTCTGTTCACTCCCGTGACTATTCAGTTATGAGGTACTCATATATGTAACAATCCATGCACTGAACAAAATACAAAGCACTCTCAGAAACATTCAACAGATTTATCCAAACTAATAAAAAAGATAAGATGTTTTCATAAAAGCTTTTATTTCACAGTTAAATTACCCTTCGATAAATTTTGAGAAAGGTCCACATGATGTTGCCCACACTTAGAATCCACTCCTTTTATCAATCTTTTTTATTAATTTTTTTTCATCAACATATGTTAATTTTTCCAATCAACAAGTTGTCTGGAGTTTGCTAAGCTAATACATGTTCAACTCCTAATCCTTCATTCTTTTCTCTAACCAAGAATAAAATAAATTCCAAATTTGATAGTAGTCCGTATCTTCTTTGTCTTTCAGCCTCATAGTTAGTCTGTCCATCTCTGCACATTCCAATATTTTCGTAATTATTTCTTCCTCTGATGGCAATCCTTCATTCTTCCAATATTGTGCAAAAATTATTCTCGCTGCTGTGGTAATATGTAAAGTTAAATATAATTTCTGCTTATTAGTCTTTTCAGACCTAATGCCTAGTAAAAATGTTCAGGTTTAAAATCCACTTGTTCGCCCAATATTTTTTCTAACCACATATGTATGCTTTTCCAATAGGCCTTTGCCTTCCCACATGTCCACCAAATATGATAATACGTGCCTATGTTATGTTTACATTTCCAACATCTATGTGACATATTTTTAAACATTTTTGCTAATCTTGCTGGTGGAAGGTGCCATCTATAAAACATTTTATACAGATTTTCTTTGTATGAAGTTGACATTGTTAATTTATAGTTTCTCTCCCATAACATTTGCCATTTTTTAATTCTATATCATAACCAAATTTTTTTGCCCATCTTATCATTGTTTCTTTCACTTGTTCACTTTCCATATCTAAAATTAACAAAAAGTTATACATTTTCTTAATTAATTTCTCATCTGAGGTTAACATTAGCATGGCCCCTGCACTTACAATCCACTCCTCTTTCCATAAAATGCAAAATTGTTGCATGATATTTAAGATTGGTAAACCTTGGTGTCCACCATGTCAATGCAATTTATGTTTTATGGTTATCTAGAAGCTGCATAATAAATGCCAACTGAAGCATTTAGTCTGCAATTTTATATGCACTTATATGTTATGATAGTGGTTGGGCTTCTCAATTAACATGTATAAGACTGCTCTAAAATTACTGTATCAATTTCAATGCACAATATTCCAGATTTTGATGATTCTTCTTTTAAGACATATTAAAGCTCTTATGTAATAAGGCAGGCTAGAAACATAATTTCTGCAGCACAAAAGGCAAACTGCATGGCAATCTAGAATGTGTACCCAACTGTGAAATGAAGCAAAAAGAAAAAAGAAAAAAAATAAGAATTGCAATCTCTCCAATATATTTTGAAGTTTCTATAAAACATATAAAAATATTTTCTAAACACAATGCTTAAAACCATTATTTAATAACAAACTGTAACACAAACAGTGTAAAATGTTTATCTTGGTCCAGGACAGATGCAAAAGTTTGCTGGCATTTGCATTACCACATTTCTGCTGCCTGCTCAGAAATACAAATTTTGGTTGATTGATTTTCCCTTAATGGAAGTTCCACAACAGCAGCAAAACCACTAAAGAAGTATCACTCCAAGTCCTTATTAATCTCTGGGAAGATTATCCTATGTAAGTCCTTCCCAAACAACATCAATGGTCATAGAGGAATCTATAAAAGATAGTATTGCCTTCAGTGATATTTTAGGTAAAATATTTTCACATGATAATCATGTCCTATTACAAAGCCAACTAAAATCATGTTAATGTTCTAGATTCTTGTACATTTTTTTAAAAAATGTGATCTACTAAAGAGGCTGGCCCATGTAACTCTAGAAGTATGCTGGCTAGTTCACTGGTCTGAATAAAGTCAAACTGATATGCCCTACAAAACATCTCCATGTGAATGGAATTCATGTAAAATGTCTGTCAAATACAGTATCTGCAAAATACATCATAAAAAGACATAAGGTAAAATCATCAATACTCCTAGCTTATTTACCAAGATGATTCATATATATATATGTGATATTGTTTTGAAGAGTGATGGATTCCTGCATGTAAATTGCCACCTACACACATTTATGAGTTGCTCTGCAAAATCAAATCAATGTGTCCAAATTGTTAAAGAAAAAACAACAATAAAAAGAAATCTTGCAGTGTTTCACATACTAGACTGTATATTTTTTGAACATTTTTATTGTTCTTTAAGTTGGTAATATAAA